AGAAAACATTGCACATACTTTTTATGGTAACGGGGGTGTTTTCATTAGATTTGAAACTATAAATTTAAAGCCTAAAGAATCCTCAAAAAATTTAAATTTCCGATATTCATTGAGTATTCACCGAATAATACTAAGTGTCAGATCACGTATTTTTAGTAACATATCAAGTATCAGGGCAACTTTGACATCTTATATCCTACCACACTTCGAGAAACACGAAATGTCAAATACAGTAAATAGCCGATAGCATTTATATAAGACAAAAATACTATTTTGAATTGGCTAGCAATCAGCTTTGATAAGAAAAATCAGATTTCGTAATTGCAAAGTATACGTATAAAGTATAAAATAAGTATGACGGTAAGTAGGTAGGTAGGTAGGTAGGTAGGTAGGTAGGTAAGGAAGAAAGGAAGGAAGGAAGGAAGGAAGGAAGGAAAAAAAAGCATAAGCATAAGCTGACATTCCCTGCTAGCAGAGCCTATTTTCCTTTTGTTTTGGTTGAGAGAGAAAAATACTCTGCCGATGTAGGACGTTATTTCTGTCGCGCATGCGTGGCGTAACTTAGCAACGCTGTCATGATTTTGACAGCCGCCCTCATCGTCAAATAATGTTTGGCGCCAAAACTACACTTGTCAGTAGTATTGCTGCGAATACAGAGTAACGAGTCTATAAGCTATAAAGAAGAAAATGAGTAATAAACCAAAATGTTCTCCAAACCCGAAAAAAATTAATTCTCCACAGACGCCAATTAAGTACGCAAGGAGTCAGAAAGATAGCAGTTGCCTCTTCTGTGTACAGAACTTTAGTTTGAACRGCCAAAAGAGTTTTTACTACGTTCAAAAATATCAGGGTCTTAACGAAAGAATTGATCGGATCCTTGGTAAATCTCTATCATATACAAATGAGTCCGTAAGAGTATGCAAGAAATGCTTTCGAAGGGTAGAGTCCCTGGATAAAAGAGCCCAGATTATTCAAAAGGACAAAGAAGATTTCCTTACAACTTACGAGAGGAATAAGAAGGGGAACACATGTGAAGCCACTCGCTTTAAGCGTCAAACAAAGGGAAGTCCAGATTACCTTCGAGTAGCAAATAGTCAATCCAGATTACGTGTAAAGCAGGCGAAAAAGTTATGTATTTCTCTGGACAAATTAAACTATATTTCAAACGAAGAGTCCAGGGATGTCGAAGGGATTTGGCAGCTGAATGTACATACCGTTGTGTATTAATAAATGATTGAAAGAACTTATGAATAAATGAATGAGTGAATGAATGACCCTGTTACGGTTACAAAAGGGAACGATGTTCCCTAATGTAACTTCGTGATCCCTAATGTAACCTTGCCATGGGTGCAAAAGGGAACATTGTTCCCTAATGTAACTTTTTGGTTCCCTTTTGTAACCCCCAAAGGTTACAAAAGAGATCAAGCGTACCCTTTTGTAACCTTAGTTGTTCACATTGATGAGGTTCCTATAATAAACTCTAAAAAGCTATTTTTACCTGAAGTCTCGCAAAAATAGCATGAATATACTTTTTTATATGCAAAAAAAGGAGAGATTTAACTTTGCGCATGCACTTTGCTAACCAAGTCAAACATATAGCGAAATATAAAAGTATCAGTTCTCAAATTTTAATAAAATTGTTATTTTTGAAGGTATTATTATTAGCTACCATTATTAAAGCTATCAATGTGCATTATAAATAGCTAAAGAAATATCGAATATGGTCCCACATTAAATAAAGATGGTCTTAACTATAGGCGATGCAAATTCGTATCTAAAACGTCGTACGTATGAGAGTGTTTTTCCTACGCGAGGTAAGTTAATATTTCCAGACATCATGCGGATGAAATGCTCCAGACATTTGTAAGGGAGCCCCCCATAGCTCCCCAGAATATCTGGTAACACATGTGAGGGAAGGTTAGAGAGAAGTAAGCAAAACTGCTGCTTCATTTCGATTTTTAAATCATTAATTTATAGTAACTGTTGGTCTGCAGAAGATGGAAAGTAAGAGCACATCAAGAAAATCTCACCCTTGTCCGGTTTGTTCTAAATCTATTGTCCATCTACCAAGACATCTACGAAATGTACACAAATGGGACGTTGAAAAGTCGAGAACTGTTCTTTCTATGTTTGATCTTCGCGCTAAGTCAGCAAAAAAAGAAAAATCGCGTATCCATAGACGAAGAGTGTGTCCGTACCCTGGATGTAGTGCCGTTGTGAGAAAACTCCATAATCATCTTCAGGGAAAGCACAAGATGAACCGCAATGATGACAGTTATAAGCACTATCTGCAAACGGCCACTCTTGAGGAACTTGAGGTGAACACGAAGGAGATGGAGGAGAACATTGTTKCTACAGCTGGTTCAACTAGTTCCGAAAGCTCTGTCGTTGTGCTCACACCACAAGAAAGATCAGATATAGCGAAACGAATCATGAAAGGTCCTAATGTGGCCGATGAGTCGTCTGGGGAAAGTGAGAACTCAAGTCTTTGTATTAACAACGCATGTCGGGCTGGGCCATTGTCTGGTATGACCATGGGAGAGCTGAGTAAGGCCAAGAAAGAAAAGGGATCATATGTGGTGACAGTCTTCAATCACAAGACCTTAAAAGCGCATGGTCCAGCCACAGTGGTACTAAGTGAAACACTAAACAAATGGGTTCTTGTCTTTGTGGTGCACATGCGCAACCATATTCCTGGAGCTTCAAGTTGAAAGAATGAGCACGTTTTCCTAAGTTGGTCTGGAAAAGCGATGTCTTCATCTATGGTCTCAGCACAAATTAACTCTTTGTGGCAGAAGTGTACAGGTAATCGTAAAGAAAGGGTAAATGCCGCTTCCTTCAGGAAAGCAGCTGTTTCTGTCGTTCATGAAAACCATTCTCATCTTAAAGACAAACTTGCTGATCTAATGAGTCACAACCAGAAGACAGCCGAGAAGTTTTACCTCATCAGACAAAAGCAGAAAAATGCCGCCAAAACATCAGAGAGCTTACAAGATATCTGGAAAGGGAAATCAGCTAGAGATACGCGTAATGGCAAGAGCTGCCAATCCATTACTGGTGAAGCGAACGAACCAGAAAGTGATTGTAAGAAGAAGGGGGAAGAAATGGCAYAAGAAAACGTAAGCGCATATGAACGCCCTTTTTAAGTACAACTTCATGTTTTTTTCTATTTACAGCTATAGTCTCATGAATGACCCCAAAGTCCTGCCATGTGGGCATACTTTCTGTGCTCCTAGTGTTAAGAAAATTACTGAAGGATCCTTTAATTCAAGAAAATATCCATCATGCAGAATGATAATAGAAAGAAGTGATGTGCTAAGTAACATCATGCTCAAAAAACTGCTTTTGAGCCTTCAATCACGGTGCAAAATCCAGGAATGTCCGTGGAAGGGTAAAGTTGAGGAGCACGAGGCGCACTCTGGCATCTGTCAATACCGCGATATTAAATGCGCCTTTCATGCTGAAGGATGTAGCTTTTCTTGCAAAAGAGAAGTGATGGACGACCATCAAAACACATGCCTCTTTAGGCTAGAGAAGTGTGGGGAATGCCAAAGCCAAATCCCCCACAATGTAATGCAGGAGCACAAAAAAGATAAACGCCAACACCGCCAAGTCTTCTGCCCTTATTACTGGTCCATCAACGACAGACACACCACAAAAATGTATGTATTGACAACCCATGAGCGTACTATACGGAATATATTAATAGATTGAAGGATCAAGGAAGTGATAAAAATTCATTCATCCATCTATCATACTTTATCGTAAACCATCATAGATCACACTTAAAAATTAAGTTTGGAGCAAACTATATCAATTTTAGGTGTTATTATTTATTTATTTGCGTTTCGAATGTTTTTTTCACTGGGTGCGTTTCTTGCAGGAAATTTTAAACCAGCTTAAAGAAAAAATCCGGAAATGCCAATGGAAACACTACAGAAGCAATTTAAAGCTAGTTTAATTTGATTAATAGTCGAGCGTTTACACGGTAAAAAGAACGATAAAAGTCGCAAACTTCAGGAAATGACAACTAAGTTAAGCAACCATAACTTGGCCTACCGAAAGCAATTACCAGTCAAATCACGCTAGTTAACAGCTACTCACTATCAAAATGTTTATTATGCTACACTTGCCTCTAGTTGGCTGTGCTGAAGTAGTGTGTTGTTTTAAAGTTTACATAAATAATTCTTAAACCACTTATGCTCTATTCAGGTGTGAGAGTGTCTTGCATATGCGGAACTGCATATGAAAGATTAAACTAAAAATTTCCAGTATGCGATTTTATTTTGCTGAACTAAGAAAAAAGTCGGTAATGACAATGGCATGTTTTTTTTTAAATTTCAGCCCAACAAAATCCGTAATCATTTAAAAGAAAATATCATAGAASCATGGGCCCCCCACTTTTTGTGAAATTTTAATACATTTTCACTAAATTTAGACCCCCACCCCCCCATCTTGTCATACAATGTCACTATTGAGCCCCCCAATCAAAAAACTGCTCCGCCGTCCCTGTAATATGATTCGCCATACTGGAAGCGCCTCAAAGCAAGGGTGGGTTCCAGCCCGCACGAAATAGTTCTTTTTTTACCCTTTGCTGTATTGTTTTATACTTTTTCATTCCTTTTCTGAATAAATTCTAATTTTTAGAATTCCAATTCTATTTTGAAGGCCTAAAGGAGGCTTATTCGTGAGACGACAGTTTCCGGTTTAACCTGATTTTTGAAACTGTCAATGAATAGAATAAATAATCCAGATGGCATTGGCAGCTACTGTATTTTGATGTGAAGCCGATTCTTCATTACATATCAGTACATTATATATAATAATCTTATGATAATATTATTATATCTTGCCATCATGAAATGCATTCTTGCTTTTTGTTGAGACTGATGAATTGTTTTACGGTAGTCATCATGTCTGGATAGCATTTGTGCAGTGTAATATGAGATGCCTTATATGCCAGGAAACGCAGGTATACGCCTTTACTAGGGCGGCGTTTGAAACGCTTTGTCATTGTCGTAGAACAGTCTTTCGAAACTTCGCTTCATCTAGAAAACATCGACTCTACTCTGAACTCTACTGCTAATACCATGAACCCAGCAACGTCTTCGAGCTCTTCCAGCTCCGGTAGCTCTAGTGAGAGCGAAAGAGAACCAAGTCCCCTGAGAACCAGGACTGTGAAGAGAGAATTTTGGCTTTTAAAGCATCGGGTAAAGTGTATACCCAGAGGTGTATTAGAGAAAGAAATGAAGAATTCCGGCAGGACAAGGTGGATTTCATTTTCCCCAAAGTTATCAAAAGATCAATTGGGGGATCTCCTGAAATCTTCCATGCCCCGCCTGGCTAATGTGTCATTAGACCGGTAAGTGACCTTGCGAACGAACATTATAAGACGAATAGAACTCCGATCTTGTAACTTAATATTTAAGCTAAACAATAAACAAAGAATCATTATCAAAACCATTTTTTTAACTAACATGCATTAAATTGTTTCTTGTTTGTGCACTTGAAATATTCGTATTTGTCCGAATTATATTCACCAGATTGCAAGTGTTAGATCCACTTCAAGAGGGTCGAAAATGGAAAGGGTAGCAGCCTCTCTCCCTAGTGCGAATGAGCTGCTTTCGCTAATGAAAGGAACCAAATCCAAGAAGATTTTCTTGTATCACAAAAAAGGTAATTGATGCATGGGGAAATAATAAACCATGTGGGCCGGTTACTGTTTAGATGATCCTTTACGAGCAATTGTTGTTTTTTATTACAGATTCCAATGAAAGGTTATCCAGAGGCAAAGGTATGGGTATTTTGCATCGTGTTACAGTTCGCAGTGACGTCAGACTAATTACCACAGGAAGCCCAAGCAAAGAGATTTTGTAGAAACAACAAAGAATCAGGGAAATATCAAAACACTCCAAATCTTAAGAAGTTTTTAATCAAAATTGCTCTGCTTTTTCTCATGTATTCATGTTCTTTTTGGGTTCTGTATGCGATTGCAAGCCATTTGAAGATTTTTTCCCCTAACAATAAAAAATGCCTCAGTTGGTCTTGAATTTGGGTGCATAACCAAAAGAGAACCCAATGAGGACAAAATAAAAAAGTAAAGCAGAGCAATTTTGATCAAAAACKTCATAAGATTTTGAGTGATTTAATATTTTCCTGACATTCTTTATTGTTTRTACAAGATTTCTTTGCTTGGGCTTCCTGTGTCACAGCTCAATGATTCAGTAAATATGGGTTGCCTTTTGTAAACAAGGACTGAACCTGTTATCAACACGGTCTTCTGRATACTATGCTATGAATGGACTGCAGTATAAAATCAGTAATTCTTTCGATCAACCGAAGTCTGAAAGCAATCACATATATACAGTTGTTGCAGGAACTCTTTGAAGAATTATTAATTCATAAAGTTCTAAGTTTAAGTATTTATAATACATTAACTTGATAAGAATATATGCATTAGCTTAGGTTCAGATGTCACACGTTTGCATCCAGCAGCTAAGAAAACAGCAAGGATTACAATATAAGAATTAAATCAGCTCTTGATTACAATATAAGAATTAAATCAGCTCTTTTGCTTTGCACCAGGAGATGGCATGTGATGTGTTAGGCTTACATACTTCTAGCAGTTACAGGGCAAACAAACGCAAAGGACATTAGATTCGGAGCGGAAAGTTCGACGTCTGATCTGGCTGGCCTATAAGCTGGCATATTAATTAGTCTAATGGGGGAGTATAGGAATGAATAATTATTGTTCTTAAATCAGGTTGAATTTGGTTATGGACTTTTTTCTTTATTTTTCAGATGAGCAGCAAAAACAGGATCAGTCTGGAGATGACTTAGGAATTAGTGAGTATATTACTTTGATTGTCAAAATATTGAGACTTCTTAACCATTTTTAGTTTTTGATTTGTAATCCAGTTGGTCATTAAATTGCTTGAGAATTTAAAGGCTCACACTCTTGCTTCACTTYTGAGGAGACAATATTAGTGCAAAGTGCAGTCCCCTCCAAAAAAAACCCTTGAAGGAATAATGTGCTCTATCTATTAGGGGAGGSTTCATGAAATTTTTCATTACCATGCAGCGACATATTGTATATCATCCAGCAGCACATTTATATTATTGTAAATTATTGTAATATCATGAATGTAAATTGCACTCTATACTATGTGTAACTTAATCATTTATATCTGGAACAAATTTGGCTTCAGAGAGGGTTTCAGGACTTCTGACCATATCCTAGTTCTTAAAAGATTAATTAATCATCAATATTATTAATTATCTAAGGGTAAACCACTGTTTGCATGCTTTATTATTGGTTTCAAAAAAGCTTACATGCAATAGTGTATGGCGAGAAGGTATGTTTTATAAATCGATTAGTTAGATCTGGCTGCAGTAACTTTTGCATGCATGCAGTTATGATATATACAATTACTGTTGTTGTTTTTTTCCCTCAGCAGCAGCAGCATCATCACCAT